GACATTGTCAACATACAGCTGTGCTTAGTGGTTCCAGTGGTTCCACCAAAACCCAACCAACTCAGAAGCACACGTAGCCAGCTTCACCTACACCTCTCAGCTAATACTGATTCTTTCTCCATTACACTGATTCAACCCACTGTAGCAGTTTCTGTTCTCTGGTGTGTATATGTATCTAAGAGAACAGATTTTAGATTAGAAAGCTGACCCAACTTTCTTATTCGGTGCGTTCTCTGTGCGTTCAGCAGTCCTATTGAAACATCTGCAATAGCTGTCATTTGTACTCCAACACTGAAGCACCACAGCCATAAGAAGGCAGCACCAGCAAGGCAAGTCACTGACACTTCACAGCTACAACTTCCCAACGTGCAAATAAAGCAAGCTTCTTGTAGCAGTAACTGCTGGTGAAGTCAATGACCACGGACACATCCAGAAGAAGCACTTAAATATTAGAAGGCTTAAATTAGAGCCATCTTAATATTTAAGCACCTGGCTAAAATCATAGTTTGCAAATAGAGGAACGTACGTAAATAGCAAGGAGAGGGCCATAGAATCGCAGGGCTTTGTTGTCAAATCACCTTGACAATCTAGAAATAAAAGCACCATTAAGAAATATATTTCAGAAAGATAATAGAGTTTGGAGAACCATAAAACTGGTTTACCTTAAGAATAAACTGTTCAAGGTTGGTTTAATGTTGGTTGAATCAATCATTGCAGGGTTCTTTCAGGAAATTGGGCTCTGTATGTTTTGAAGTACTGTGATGCTACACAAGATTAACTGTTTGAGCTGAAGGTTTGCAGGTCATTAAGTTATAACACAGACTTGGAACGATCTAATGCTCTGTGGAAAAATATGTTGTTCAGAAAAACAAAGAGCCAGTCAGCTTGCACACTGGTGCTTAACGTGGTTCATTTGCTCCTCAACTTTTGCACAGCACATTTTCCTTCTGACAGATGTTAGCAACAAGCAGCTTTAGCAGGCTAAAGACTGTTGAAGTACCCACAAAATCGGATGCAAAGCGAAGGACTAAAATTCTGAGTTTCACACTGGAACAAACATTCACCAACCAACCAAACTCACATCATCTCTCAGCTACAGCAGCACTGGCCCAGAAAGTTCTTGGAGTCCCCCAGAGATGAGCTGCAGCTGGGAGATGTATCTCAGCAACAAACCAATGTGTGTTCCAGTAAAACTCCATCTTGGATCTTTTTTCCCTGCAAATACCGCACTTTAAGAGAACCTACAACTGCTGTCATGTATAATGTGAAAGACGGTGTCAGAGGAGAAAGAGCCAGCCAGCAGAAGTTGTTGATGGCAGTGTGTTGCAAACATATAAATAAGGCACTCACTAGCAAGGAAATACTATGCATATGTCCAGAGAAAGGAGAAAAGCTTCCTGGCCGATGCTCCTTACACCATAATGTGAATGCAGCACCTTTGCCACCAGATGCCACCCTCCCCTCCTTCTGACCCATCACAGCCCAGAGATGCACCCTCAGGGGCACAGGAGCTCACCCCCCATTCACTGCAATGTGGGGATCTGCACTCCCAATGCTGCACGAGGTGCTCAGAGTGCACAGCACAGAGACAGCCCCTGTACAAACACTGCAGGACCACGGGCTGCTCCCTGGAGGCAAGCTCTCTTGTTCCAGTTCAAATATTAAGCACAACGCTCCCTTTTTCACTAAGGCCTTTGCTACATTTCTGTCACTTTGGCTCGCAGGCAGCCTTCTCCCAGCATTTTCTTTAGAGCAAGTCATTGCTTGAGCCAACATCAGGGCTGTGCCATCAGACTGATTACACTTCCAGATAATTAGAAAAGCTCTCTGAGCAGTCTCCATTCTGAGAGATGACATCCAAGGTGACACCACCCTGATATCTCTTCATTAAGTCTCCTTGAGTGTAAAGCCTTCTGAATTAAAAGCTATGTTTAAAAAGTGAAAACAGTCAAGTGTTGCAATTTCCCTTTCAGTTAGCACTACACTCCAGGCTGGCATTTCGTTAAAAATGCAGGTCCTCCTCGTGTGGCTGATGCTGCTGGGTATTGCAAGTCCTCTCATTTCTTTTGTGGGCACCTTTCTGCCATACTTGGGCACTGGTGCTTCCTCTGGAGCAGGGAACAGTCCACAGCCACACAAATGGGAGCACCCATGGGACAGCCACACTGCTAGCACAGCAACCTGCAGGCACAGCCCCACGGCCCGCATGGGGCAGGGGGTCACGGTGCAATAATTCCAAATATTCTGCACTGCGCATTTGATTTCAGTAACCACTTTGAAACTTATGTACAGCCTGGTTCATGGCAATATGTACACAAACATCTGTTTTAGTGTCTTAATTCTGGCTCCCTCCATCTCAGAGCGCTGAAGGCACCAGCACAACTGTTTTTCCTCACTGAAACGTTTAGCTGAGCTCATAACCAAAGCACACACCTCATCTCCTCGCCTCTATGCATGCGAGCACAGCATTCTGCAAAGCTCTCCCCACACATTTTTACTACAGTTTTGCTCTCTATAAAAGCAGCTGCCTTCTTCCGTTAGATGTTCCCTATTAAAAACAAGCATGTAAACACTTTTGCCACAATACATGGTACTAAAGACTCATTTTTGTCAAAATACTTCTGCATTACCTTGACGTGGCCTGTTTTGGCTGAAGGGAGTCATTGGTATTCTGGAAAGTAAGCAGCAAGAAGTAAACCAACAAAGAACTGTCTGAGACCAATACTTTGTACTATTGTGCTGCTCCAGTGATTGCGTGAGATTCCCCATAGAGTTTGATGAAGTGTCCTCAAAAGCAAATCACAGCATTCCTCAAGGACAGAGGCAGCGGCTCCAGGGGCTGGCAAGCCCCAAAGGCAGCACCTGGCTGAAGCAGTGCTGTTTGGTGCATACAGAACGGATCCCTCTCTGCTTTGGGGACAGCTTGGCTGTCTGTTGTACACATCCACGCTGCTGTGACATGGCCTGCATCCCAGCAGAAATTGCTGCACAACAATACAGGTGTCCTTGGCAGTGGCACGACTTGCAGTGCTGGATCGTGTCCTGGATTATGCCAAAGTCAGTCACTCGCCAGAAACAGTGTTAATTACAGCAATACGTTACATTTAGCCTTGTCTAGAAATAAGGCATGGTGTGCTAAATGCACTCTAATTTTCTCACCCTACCTCTATCCATCCCAATCAGGATAAATTTTTCATGCATAAATGATGTTACAAGCTTCGTGTGGAGACCCCTCAGAAAGCTGCAGTGCTAAAAGGCCTGGTGCCCACAAGGCGGACTCTTGGAGGGGCCTTTCTTTGTCACCTACGCACACCTGTATGAGCCAAAGACTCCTGCAAAGTGCACGAGCTCAGCTGAGGAGCAGGAGCCCCAGTGCTCAGCAGCACGAGTGCCGTCAGAAACTGATGGCCTGTGGCCTAGTACCTCGCTGCATTACAAATTACCAATCAAGTTCTAAAATAATGATGATCATTCATGATATTATCACATGAAAGGGGCATTAAGATTCTCATACCAGCAATATAATTCAAAGCTAATGTTTTTTCTGATGCACGATTTACCTCGGTTTGTACAAGAGGGAAGGAAGATGTCAGGGCAGGGCATGTCACTGGTGCAATACCCAGCTGTAACGTGGTACTGCAGTGCAATAGGATAAGTTAGCCATCAAAAATAAACGTTTCTGCTGAACCTAAGGTGTGGGAAGGGTGAAAACCATTCTTTATTGGCATCAGAAGGCAAAATCCGTGAGCAACTCACCCTCTTTTTTAACAAAATAATTGCAGAAAAAATAAGGGCACTGAAAATTTTAGGGATTATCCTCAAGATCTTTCTTGAGTGACTTTTATTTCAATTCCAGCCTTCAAAGGGAGATTCCAAATGCTAAATTTAATGGCAACGTATTCCCAGCGGGAACCGCACTGCTTCTGTGCACAGCCCTCCTACTCCCATCCATGAATTGAAATCAGAAACAGATGATATGAAATATGGAAAGTTTTCATCAGTTTTCAATCAAAGTAAAACATATCCTCCTATGAACTAATTTTCTTTGATCAAAATTCAACACAATTATTCAACACAACACTTTAACTGCTGCTATGAAAAACTGAAAGGAGGGGGGGAAGGAAAAGCAAAGGCCCAATGTCACATTACTGGCTATAATTACCCTCTTATGATATTGATGGTAATGTGACTGAAAAAATCTCATTCCTACTTTTCCAGTATCACTGAAGTAACACAATTTTCTTCTAGAGAAAACGAAAATATTTCATCCTCTGCCATTATTTTCCTACAGGTGCATTTCCATAGGACAAGAAGAAATGACCTCAAGTTGTGCCAGGGGAGAGTCAGGAAGAATTTCTTCTCAGAAAAGGTGGTCAGGCAGTGGCAAAGGCTGCTCAGGGAGTGCTGGGTCACTGTTCCTAAGGGTGTTTAAGGGAAGGGTAGATGCAGTACTTTGGGACACGGTTTAGTGGCAAATATTGGCAGAAGATGGACAGTTGGACTGAATGATGCTAGAGGTCCTTTCCAGCCTAATTGTATGATTTCCCCCTCAAAAGACAAAACTGCAGGCAGATGGGTATTGCAGCACCACTCTGCTGGCTTACGAGCAGGAAGTGCTTTGACATGGCTGGTGGTCACTCTGTGATTTGTAGACACACAAAAGGCTCAAGCATGGAATATTCTCCATATAAAACCAACTCCCAGAAACCCAGCAAGCTACTCTGTGCTCAAATGAAAGTCCCTCTGGGTCCTGTGGAAAATACTGATTTTCCTTCTACATGGACAGCCAGAAAAAGGAAGAAAGAAGAATGAAATGTTGTCTCTCTTCACCTACTCTTGTCCCTCGAGGCTGATGCTGCTGTTCCATTTTCTCAACAACCAACAAACATTCAATTTATTTTTTTCAGTCTGCCTGCAGCCAAGCTTCCCTCCATCAGCCGTGCAGCCGCCCAACACGGCCTCATTCAGCAGCATGAGGAGGGAGCAGTGCCTGCACTCACCTGTGCATTTGCGGTCTGTATCCTCCTTCTTCGACCCGCTGATGGTTAGCTTGCAGTTGAAGTTCTCCTCCCAGTACTCAGCAAACCACACGTTCCTCCTGTTGTTCTCCAGGGTGCGGGAGGTGAAGTAGGCATCGAACCCTGCAGGAGGAGACAGACAAAGCTCAGTCTTGGCTCCTGCTTCATGGTGAGTGTTGCAGCCTGAGGAACAAAGCCACTGCTCACATCTCCTTCAACAGCAGGCACGTGTTCATGTCTGTCCACCTCATGAGAGGCCCATGGAGAGAATGGAAATCACTTGCACATTTTATCTCCTCAATTGCACCTTGCAAGATGTACTCAGCTACGGGCTGAGAGTTACAAAACCAGGTAAAATACATGTAGAAGAGATTAATATTAAAAAGAAAGTTATAAGCAAGAAGCGCAGATTAGATATACACAGATAAGGAATGAAGATAAATGATACTTGGTGGAGCTCAATACAACTGTAATTTTTTAATTAACCTCTCCAGACCTCTAGAGAATGCAGCTCCATCTCACTCAATTGGCCATTATCAGTACAACTTCATACTTTTGCATCGTGTCTCTTCATCTCCCCTCCAGACGAATAAACGTGGCACAGAACTTCGCAGAGGTGACTGGAAAGCAAAGCTGGGTGCTTGGCTTAAATGACCTCCACAGCCTGCAGTGGGAGGCTTCCCTGCCCGGGCCCATCAGACTCAGTCCATCACTGAGGCAGTGCAGGCACAAAGCCCCTGTGTTTTATTTTCTATTTACCAAAGCGCTTAGTGTTCTGTAGTATCTGAAACAAAATATTGCATAGCTGTGTAGCACTGAGTATTTCATGATTTTTATCTGGCTCATATCCTATCTCTCTTTAGCACCTCAACTTGCCAAGAAAAAGAGACTTGGATTTTTTTTTTTTTTTTTTTTCCAGTTCATTAAATTCTGGTAATAAATTGGATCTGCCATAGCGCAGCAATAGTTTCAAATCAAGCCAAGTATTCCTTAACAATACAGACAATACCCTTCAAAGATCATCCTCATTTTATTGGAGTTTTCCTTACAGTAGCATACAGAACTCCAGGAGAAATATTTATTTTCCCAATGAGCAGTGGTAGTTTTAGTCCAAATCACTAATTACCCAGGCCACTGCTGTTTGCCCCTGTATTTAAGCACTCTTCCATCAGCTGTTCTCTTTCAAAGCTGAGATGACTCCTTACAGCCTGAAGGAACCCTTGTGCACACAGATACTTGCCTATCAATAGGCAGATCCCCCAGGTAGGTGTGATGCCAGCAATCTGGCCTTTGCACTGCAATAAGCAGAGCTCCCAGGCCCTGCCTGCTCTCCCAGTGAACCCATGCTTTCCATCTCCACTTTTTTTCCTTTTACCATCCCAGCTTGCTCTGGGTTTTGCTTGTCTGTTTAGTAAGGAAAGTATCTGCGTGGGACAAATACAGCACTGCATGAGCACATGCTCATACAAAAACCCTTTTTTGTTTTGGTAGCCAACATATATATGCATGTAGGTGTCACGTATGCATACAGCAGGTAGTACAGACATCACAAATACATGCATATATGATCTGCAGTACTGATAACCCTATTGCAGCTTTGTCCATTTTAAGGCAAAACCTTTTATTTCTTATTCCTGGCCAACACAACTCTAGCTACGCCAGCAAAGACATTTAAGGCACAATCAAGACAGATTTCCTTCCTGAAGTTTCACAGATGAGTTGAAAAGTCAGCAGCAGCACCTGGCCCTCCCAGCCAGCTCAGCACAGAGCTCTGCCTGGAGGGATTGCTGGGGAAAGCAGATATATTCATCTGTTACTCTGAGAGTCATTATACTAATTTCCCAAACCTGACAGTCACTGTGCAGTAAGGGGGCTGTGCTCATTCTCTTCAGAGAGTTACATAATTCTTCCAGCAAGTGTATTTCAATAGCAGGATATTCATCACTGCTGCTGGCGGAGTGGAGCCTTCCTATGTCTTTCAAGTTATGTCTTTAGTCTGCAACGAGCAACGTGAGAGCTTTTGCTTAAGGAGACAGCCTAGATTCACTGTTTTGAATGTAACCTTCCAGAACTGTAATCAAATTTCAAATTCTGGTTACGAGGCAGTTTTGCCTCTTGTTACGAAGACAGTTGAAGTATTCAAGCTATCACACAGAATCACATAGAAAACTGTGATGATCTGAAGCATAAGGCAGATCACAAGTAAAGAAGGCTTGAAAAAGTCTGGTTGCACACAGAGAGGCTCAGGGTAAGTTACCTGACATACTAAAAAGTGCAAATCCACCAAAGAGACAAATCTCAGCTTTTCTGTCTTGTTCCTTTGCATAGCTTTGCAGCTTATAAAGGTTCCAGGCAGCGGAAACAAGGAAACAGCAAGCTCTTACAAGTACTAAACTATCTCTGGCTCTTCTGATTTTGCAGTTAAGAGTTGCAGTAAATACATACCCTGCTGAAAGAGAAAAAAAGTTCCCTGCACCGTGGCCAACAATTTGTCTCTCTGAAATAAGTGGGTAAATTGACTCAATCTGGCACCCCACACAATGAAATGGAGGCAGAAGAAAAACATATGGCCTCATTAAATTAGCTTAGCAACCCATGTACTACGGGATAAAAATAGACAGCATGTAAACAGATGTTTTCAAACAAGAAAGAAAATGAGGAGTGGGGTCAACCTGTCTCCTCACGTTAGCTCTGTGCCCTACTGACCCAACCAGAACACATTTTGCTAATTCTGAGCCTACTGTTCACGAGGCGCATCCAAAGCCTGCTGCTCATAAAGCATAACGCATATCAACGCCAAAGAAATAAACACCGGGGTCTTCCAAAACCAGGCTGAAAGCAGTTTCAATGTTGTCTGCAGCCAAGCTTGAAAATATGCCCCTTTTGCTAAAAATACACCAGAATGCCTCCAAACCACCGCAAGCTGTGAGCAGCATGACCCCAAAGCTTCATGCTGCAACCTGCAAGCAAAACAACAGCATGGATAGAAGGCCTCGGTGCTGCACGTAAGCAATTCTGCAGACTCACCCTGGATATGTGTCATCTCCATGTACTCAAAACTGCTGTCCAGCCCTTAGTGTTGTTTTTGCAGCTTGAAATGAAAACTTTCCAGACTAAAACTGGACAAAGCTGCAGGAAAAGAGCAGAGCTGCGATGGCTGAGACCCCACACCTCTCCAGCTGTGTATTTATCCCCAGGGAGGCACCTAACAGGGATTCCCACCTTTTAAGGAAACCACGTAGCAAAATCCCCCTGCCTCAGCTGTTCCACTGTTCCACTTTGGGGTTTGTTCCTACGCACTGCCTCTAGAAAGGAAAGCACAATTTCTGCTCGTCTGTGCTGAAGCATCCTATGGAAAACACTCGTTTGACAGAAGCCAAAATCTAAGAGTATTTCCTAGGTTTTCTTGTTGCATACCAGCTAAACCTGCTTTCCTGTAAACCTACGTGCATTAATTTTATTACTGCTTAAACGAGCACTTCAAAGGGGATCTGTGGTCATAAAACCTGCGATGAATAGATCTTGGAAAGAGAAACAATATACTTGACCAATGTTCCAAAGTAAGCGACCTCTATGAAAAGTGCTTAATAAGACAAAATCAATACATCTTGATAAAACTGTAATAGAATTCCACAAGAATTACTCTAAACCTTTACAGATTTAATAACAAATAATGACATTCTCATTGATTTTTTAATGATCCCTCCCCACTCTCAAGAAGGAAGACAGATCCCTATTAAAGAGTGAACAGTTTTAATCAGTGTTTTCTATTGACCAAGCCGAGCAGCCAAGAGACTGACGGAGGGTCAGAGGTAAGCAGAGGCCAGATGTCCATTAAGCGTTGGCTGTGCAGAAACTCTCAGCCCTCACTTAATTCTGACACAGCCTATCATAACCGAACTCTGCCTGCTTACAGCAGATCAGATTTTCTGCAGCTTAGTTACAGGTTGGTTTAGAATGCTCAGTAAAATCCCACTGCTCCCAGAACGTGGCTGGGTTACTCTGTATCGGCTTTTTTTTCCCTCTCTATATCCTATTATTCACAAGAATGCAGAAAAAAGGAGTTATCACCACTATCTGAACTGAACATGCACCACACTCATTGCTCTGTGACTTCAGACAGCAATCATCATTTTGGTTTTTTCCACTGCTATTTTTGGACAGGTAATTGTATGAAACAATTTAAAGCAATTTTTAAGAAGGAACCCAGAAGAAAAAATAAGTTTTTCAATTAAGAGGAAAAAAGATCTATCTTTACTATTTATAAACATCCATTAGATGCATGGCTAATAAGTAAACAAGACCCGAGTATTCTATAGTTTAGCCTTTCATTTCATCAATCATTTGCCAGGGTGGTAAAATTGCTGCCTTGCAACCAACCTTGCCATGGATCAGAATTAAATACCACAAATCCCATGATGAATTCTATGACCTCTCAACTGAAGAACAGTCTGTGTTGAGGTTATTGTATTTAGACCACTAACTGTAAGACTATGGTGGGGCTATGGAAAGACACATGCTATGTGATTTTGAGATAACCCACACAGATTTAGTTACTGTGAGTTTATTGAACAGCTTGGACTCCAGCAGCTTATCCTGATCCACGATTACAATCAACAGCTTTCTCCATTTCAGAAGGCTGCCAACTTTTGCATCAATACAGAACATCCATGTTACTTTCTTCAGTGCGTTGGGTGCGAACCATTTTGAGTGCCACATCATCACTGAGCAGTTCCTGCCATGTTTTACCACCCAAAACCCAGGATCCCACCCACCACAGCTCCCTAACGTGGCACCCAGCCTCACCCTACAGGACCGCGCACTCGGGTGTCCATCCGACAGCTTTCCTCCTGTTAGCGCTCCAACATCTTGCACGTCACATTACCAGCACATTTGCTAGGGCTAATTACATTAAAGTGATTGAATTTCTTCAGATGGGAATTATAAATGATACAATTACATACAAAATAGAGCTGCTGCAACACCTGTCTTAGAAAACCTGCAGCTACTGCTAATTTCCTCTCTCACCACTCCTCCCGGAGCCGGCAGATCACCCAGCGCACCCTCCACACTACAGCAGGTTCCCTCCAGTCAGCTTCTCAGGATTAGGTAACTTCCCACTA